AGCTCCTCCGCCAGCTCTCTCAGCACTCTCGGGTGGATCCCATCCGGCCCCATAGACTTGTGAGTATCCAGATGACGTAGCAGGTCGTTGACCGCTTCCTCTTGGATTATGGGGGGTTCATCCTGCTCGCCATCCCTGTTTTCCAGCTCAGGGCGCCGAGTACCCTGAGGGTAACTAGTCTGATTGCTAAAGACTGAGGCAAAGAAGGCATTAAGTACCTCAGCCTTTTCCTCATCCTCGGTGACAATGTTCCCCCCCGCATCCAATAAAGGATGGAGATTCTCCCTGGCTCTCTTCTTGTCATTAATGTATTTGTAAAAACTTTTTTTGTTGTCTTTAACGACAGCGGCCAGGTTGCGTTCTAGCTGGGCTTTTGCCTTTCTCATTTCCTCTCTGCACGACCTAACGAGATCCCTGTACTCTTCTTGAGTCGCCTGCCCCTTCTTCCACAAGTGATAAACTCTCCTTTTTTTCCTGAGTCCCAGCAAAAGCTCCCCGTTCAGCCAGGCTGGTCGTCTTCCCCGCCCGTTCTTCTTGCGGCGTACAGGGACAGCCTGCTCCTGCACCTTTAGGACTTCCTTCTTGAAGATCGTCCAGCCTTCCTGGACCCCTTTGCCCTTCATGACCATCTCCCAAGGGACTCTCTCAACCAGCGTCCTGAACAGGCCAAAGTCTGCCCTCCGGAAGTCCATGGTTGCGGTTTTGCTGCCCCCCCTCCTTACTTCACCGAGAATTGAGAATTCTACCATTTCATGGTTGCTAAGCCACCCCTTTATGAAAGGTCATATGTTATAGAAATGTATATTTGATTATAGGTGCCAAGCCCTTTATGAAAGGTCATATGTTATAGAAATGTATATTTGATTACAATAGTGTTTCCTTTCATCATAGATGCAAACAGTTTTTTTATTGATGTGATGTACCTAAGATTTCATCAACAAAGAGCAAAAGTGACATTTCTGTTGCAGGTTGTATATCCATTACTGGCTATCAGTATTTTGAGCACAGAACGTCAGCTGCCAATAAGGGCTCTCAAGGTCTCTCAGAATCCCCTCTGAACTTTCCTGTCCTTTCATCATAGATGCAAACAGTTTTTTTATTGATGTGATGTACCTAAGATTTCATCAACAAAGAGCAAAAGTGACATTTCTGTTGCAGGTTGTATATCCATTACTGGCTATCAGTATTTTGAGCACAGAACGTCAGCTGCCAATAAGGGCTCTCAAGGTCTCTCAGAATCCCCTCTGAACTTTCCTGTTTGCTGCTCCATTTTGCCATGCACATCCTTTGCCAGCTGCATCCTTTAAGAGGAAGCCATTACAAACTACTTAAAAATCTCAAACACCAGGGCTAATCAGAGTCACAAGGGTTCCAGCCATACAGTCTGCATCACCAAACAGGCTCACTACATCTCTGTTCAGGGATTCTTATAGAAAATAGAGTTCAAGTCAATATGATAATAATTATCTCTATTGGAGAGCAGCGAAACTGAAATAAAGTGCCCAAGCAAATACTTGAATACAGAGTTAACCAATTATATCAGGCAAAATTATTTCTCAAACCAGTAATATTATAAAAACAATATGGCCTTAAAATATTGTATTATACCTGGAAGATGTTCCCAAAGCTGTGACTAATGCCTGGATTAAGCCTCCAATAAATACCCAAGGGTTCTTACGAGTGATCAGGAAGTAGAGAAGAGGTAGGACAATGACCGCATGAATTAGCAAACCGATGATAACTGTAACAGTATACATGGCAAGCTGACCACCGATCACACCCATATCTTCCATCTCAACAATTTTTCCAGCAATCAAGAAGAGGATTCCAAGTGGAGCATACCTGCAAATAAGAAATCAAATCAGTATTGTAGTGAACAAAGTAGAAATTCACTCCCCCATCCATACCATTTGTTTTTATATGCATGGATGAATGTAGGATTTCACTGTTAGGATGACTGCAATCATTCAGAAGCAGTTCAAGAGTTTAACTCTTAACTTGTAACAGTTCAACCTGGATTAAACCACAGCAGTGAATGTTTCTGATAGGTTCCGTTGGATTCAGGATCTGGTAAGGGTTTCAAGATGTATAGCATGCCTTTCAGACACATAGTGATATAAGCTCGCTTTGGAATTCAAGTGTCATTTAAAAGCTAGTTTAGCCAATCCCGTTATAATTCTGTCTGTATGAACAAAGGCTCAGCTGACATAGCTGTAGACTATGCCAAGTGCCTAGTGCTATTATCTCGCCAGTGCTGTTTCCCATGTTGCTGGGGAAGGAACCCACACAGAAGGCTGATAACTTCTGATGATTCCAAGCTGCTTCTGGCCATGCCCCATTTTATCCAGTGGGGCATTGGATAAATACGTTAGCATGAAGCCATCTGTATGACAGAGGTTAGATGCATCGTGGCCAGCAACAAAGGTGGTATGATCTGCTTTTTCCTATCAATAGGCACAGCTACAGATGAAGAAAGAGCTAGTGCTGAGCATAAAACTCTAACATAATTCTGCTGCAGCTGGACTTTTGGTATAGCCTTATTTCTCTAAATGTCCACTTGTCCTTTCAGACTAAGTTAACACAGAACAAAATTTATCCAGCATATCTCAATTGCACTTTAAGCCATCAAATCCATGTAGGAATTTCTCAGAAGTAAGAATTCTCATCCATTGCTTTATCATCTTAAGCGTTCTTGTAAAGAAGGAGAAAAGATTTTTTGCTTTGTGTAGATGTTTCCTGGCAGAGTAGAATTTTAGTAACTGGAAAAATATTTTTAGTTTTGGATCTAGTACTGCAACATAATGTGCGTGTGCTCTTGGATAGGCTTTTGGAGTTGATTTTTTTGTTTGTTTGTTTGTTTTCTGTAGTAAAGAAGGCAACAAGACATAATTTTTTCTCATAATTAACCTTCTACCTGGCAAATAATGAATCTTCATTGTTGAAAAGACTTCATGCCTAATGTTTGAGGGAAAAGTTACTGGTTTTATTTACCTATTGAACACAATAAAGAAAGTAGGAAAATTACGTGTATGTGTAAGCAGTGCAGCTACAATGCAAGAACATACATATACACTACACTGCAGGAACAGGTTGTGTTGGAAACTAATGATAACAAGGTCTTGCTGTGTAGAAATAAGATTATGGGAGACGTTTGTTGGTTTTCTTTAGTGAAGTCAGGATATAAGGAAACTTTGATAGCATACTGTTGTGATCGCTATCTTTATGAAGATGTAGAACGGCTCTGCATAAGCTTAGCAAGTTCTGCCATAGATCCTGATTTTTCTCATGTCAAAAGCTAAACACACTGAAAGAGTAGGTATGTTTGGGCAAATTATTGACATACAGAATTACAGTTCTTGGGTTCGTTTATGAAAAAAGCTACAAGGTGGTTAAGATCTTATTGTCTGACTTCCTGCCAAACAGACTCTTGCTGTCCAGTGCCTGACTGTGATGAAAAAATATTGTTAGTAACTTAAAATGGAATTTATCAAAGAGGCACTTACCACATGATTAGAGCTACCAATCTCATGATAGCCTCATTAAGGCTGTCAAAGAAGTCTTTTAATGCCTGACCTTGCTCCTTCATGCTTCCAATCACCAGGCCAAAGCTTATTGAGAAAACCACCAAGCCAAGGGCATTCACTCCATTTACAGAACCTGGAACAGGAACTATTTCCTCTTTCATCTGAGTGAGGGTTTCCATTGCTTCTGACACATTACTTATTATGGAAGCCACTGTGGATGTGTCATTGGATGGAATATCTACTTTAAACATTCTCTTTTCATAGTTAGTTTTGAACTGTTAAAACAAAAATAGCAAACAAAGGTAAAAATCACACATTAAATTACTAATTGCTATTGTAGGACATTTGAATTCTTTGTGTAATATTTGTTGGTAAAATGTACTGTGGTGAAAACCTGGCTTTCCTGAAAGCAACAAAAATCCATATTAACTTCAAGAGCTAAATCTTCACCTTTAGCTTCCAGAACTCATTTTCTCATAAATATGTCAAAATCAAAGACACAGATTTGTCGCGCTCATGAGTTTTGTGACAAAACTATTGATTCTTAGTTTGCATTTTTATAAATTGCTATTTTTCCCAACAACATATATCCAACTGTTAAATAAATAAGACTTTTTTGGCTAGTGAAAATATTTTCATGTGCTCTGGAGTTTCCTTACTTTTTCATCTTTTTGAATTAGAAAAAATTAGACTGAAAGTAACTTAAATATAACATACCTCTTTTTTCCTTTGCTGTAGCAAAGCCATTAGTTTTCTAGGCTTGGCAGTAACAAATTACCACTTTTCTTAATTGAGAAAGGATTCTACCTTAAATGGTTCCATTACTAAATGGGCAAATCAATTTCAAAATCTCAATATGCTCCTAAACGTCTACTTTGAAAACCAGTCTTTCACCATCTAATGCTTTTCCAAAGAGAAATGTGCATCCTGAATATTTCTGTCTGGGCTCAAAATGCCCTGCAGCCCTGTCCTGATTAAATTCTGTTGAACACAAAGAATCCTAAATATCACTAGTAAAATGTTTCTAATATATCCCAGGATGCTAAATACCCTATTAAAGCAATGGAATGCTAGTGTCAAGGTTACTCAGCAACTTTGGATTTTTATTCCTTTGAGCCTGCCAACAAAAGACAAATGTTAAGTCCAGGAGCTGTAGTATTATTAGTAATATCTGGAGACTGTTGTGCACTCCAAAAGTATTTGGGTGAAATGGAGTACTTATGACTAAGTGGGAAACGTGAATATCAGTATCTATCAACACTGACCTAATTTTCTGTTACTTTCCACACCTGAATAGTTTTATGCACTCCTTCCACATATTTGCTGTATCCCCCTGAAGGCTTTAAGTCTTTCAGAATTTCAAATAAAACTTGCTTACAGGAGATTTATGGCAAGTTTCTGAATAAGATGTAGCAGAACAAATCTCCATGGAGGTCAGATATTCTTGAGTTTTAAATGAAATTTGCTAAAACATTTTAGGATTTGGGCTGTGGTTAGAGGAGACAGCTGAGCTGTTCCAACTGTTGGCTGACACGGGAAAGCCCAGTTCCACTCCCTCATCCACTCACATCCAACCTGTGATAATTTCTCCTCTGTGTCGGTTCTAGATTGATCTCTCAGTGAGCCAGTTCTACTTTTTAAATTGGCAGAAAACTTACCAAGCAAAAAAAGTGGCCATTTTTGGGTAAAGGCTACGGAGGTGAATCAGGTCACTGACTGATGAACGCCAGAGAGCACAAAACACTGAGACTGGAACTACACAGCTGGGGAAGGAGCGATGGGATTGCCTCTTTAAGTGACAGAGAGGTATTAGAGTGGAAATGGAAATTTTCTAGAAGTTCTCACTAAAGGGTTTTTAATTCAGTCCTGACAGAAATGTTAAAATACTGCCTAACACATCAAACACTTCTAATTTTTTTTGTGTGTGTGTGTGTGTGTGTGTACAGGTGTGATAGTTGTGTTATATGTATATTTCTATTACTGTTTTTCAGGAGAAAAAAACTCAGGTAAAAATTCCTTAATACAAATATCTGAATGGTGTAATTATGCTGGACTTGTGGGCGTACAGATTAGACAAACATAAAAAAGCAAGCTGCTTAATGAGGACCAGAACTAAAGCCTAATTTCCTAACAAATTTCCTATTCATTTCCTACTTTCCCTAGACACATCATAACTGACTTTGTCCCGACTCTCCTCCATTACCCTCAGGTCCTTCTCTCTCATTCCTACCTATTTGACTAGGTCAAAAGCAACACGTGATACGGCTGTTAGACTGTTAGACGTGTGCTGCCTGGCTGGTTGGCTGCTGCCTGTTCAAACAGGCCACGAGGTAAGTCATAAACCACCTTTCTTTCAGTGGCAGCACAGTCTTGATTTGCCTGAGAATTGGCCCCCTCATGTTGAATCAGGTTGGAATTGGCTATTGGGCTCAAAAATTACAACAGGGGACTGAGAAGAAGTTGGGCAGCTAGAGGGTAGAAATCACATAAAGTTTCTTACCTTTAAAAACCCCAGTTAGAAATCATTTTAGGTTGTCATAAGCATATTCCTTCTTTTTTGTGCTGATTCTGGAATTCTGTCCCAACGGGAAGATGCCTTCAATTCTTTATTATTTAGGTCTCTTTAGGGGTGTAATATGGATTTTAGGACCTCACTTAGCAAAGTCTGTTTCCATTTCAGCTACTAAACTGGTACACAGAGATGTAGATCTTATCTGTTGACTCACCCTGTTGGTCAGCCTTAAGTATTCAGAAATGTTACTAGGGAGAATAGTCTTTCTAGAACGCCTTCCAGAGCAGTGGAGAAACAGTTTATTTAGAGTGAGATTCAAAATGGGAATCTGAGCAACAGGAATCAGAGCAACTTTATTTGCTCTGGGACAGTCACTTGAGCTGTCCATTCTTTCATTATTGCTAAATGAGGTTAAGGATAACTCTGTGGATGTATCTGTCTTCTTATGCCCAAAGTTGTCTATCAGAAGTCATGAGAAGGTTCCTTTGAAGTAAAAGAAATTAAGGAAAACCAAATACAGGAAATGCAGAGGAGATAGCTACTACGGAAGAAGTGTAGGTTGAGCTTTATTCTTGTTAGTGCTTTTTCAGATGACACTAAAGGCAAAATACAAGATTTCTTGACCACCACGAAACAAATTTTCTGTGTGTGGAACAGTGAAAAAGCCGACTGTTTATAGGAAGTGACAGGATGAAAGACCACCTTCAAGATGATAGAAAATATCAAAGGTTTTGAAATAGATGAGGTAATAGCAGAGTTGACTATTACTGCTCGGCAGAGAAACTGGTGATAACAGATCATTTTGTGAGCTTTTACAAGATTCCTACTTTCACGCAGATCTCTATCTTGGTGGGAATCAGAGTTATCAGCTGTTCATATAGCTCAAACTGACATTTTAATATCACACTATGATTCTGCAGATCCTTCTTCTTCTGCAACATTCAGTAATGGAACAAATTAGACAAAGAAAAACTGCTCATATAACATTGTAGGCTTAAGGGTCTCAGAAGAGCTGGTTATGTTTTACTAGAAGCCCACACACCTACACTGATAATCTGTGATGGCCTACACAACATCACTGAAGTCCTGTAGTTTCTGAGGATGTTTGGTGCATTTTGTCTCCAGGCAGAGGTATTTTTGCCTGATAAGATTTTAGATGCAAAATACTCATCATTTTTCCTGAAGTTCATGTATAGAGAACATATTAGGAGCAAGGTAAATATTATTTGGAACATATTAATACTAACAGCTTTCTATGAACAACCTTATCTGCAAGTAAAATATAAAAATAATGGCATTTCTGGACTTCTTTACAAGATACAGTGCTAATGAACAACTTCAAAATGAATTTTAATTAAGTTATCTCATGATGAAATAGACAATATAATTACTTTATTGCATAATATAATGAATTAGTTGTTTACACTTTTATTTTGTTTTCATAAGTGGTACAAGACACCCACAGTCATTTGACTTGAATATATTGCATGACTTTTTAAGAAGCAACATTATAACATGGCAGTAGCACATTCCAGTGGTTAATTTGCAGACAAGGTAGTTGCATGGGTAACTGCTCTGAAAACACATAATTTACTGTCAGTACTCTGAGATAGTACAATTAGCACTGTCTGTGCTAAGTCTGTATGATGATGTAGTTTTTAGTGAATGATGATTTTAAAAGCAACAAGTTTGCTTAACTGCAAGCCTGAAAAAATGAAAAGAAATTAAAATAAGGCAGTGATATCCCATCTTCCTAATTTTTTCTTTCCTTTCCATATGGACATATGTGAAAGCATTCTAAATTGTTTGCAGAAGAGCTGATGACACAGGTTAGAATATATCTTAACTAGCCAAAATTACCACAAGGAATAGACAGCATATATTAGTTAGTATTCATGTCTGGATGTGTGAGTAACACTTCCAATCCCCTTGGTAAGGATGTGTTCAGGAAAGAATATTTAATTAAAAATAGCTCAGAAGAAACACTGTTATCAGATGCACCTTTCCAGTTCTTTAAGCTTCAGCTGGCATCAAATTCCACCTATTCACAACAGAATGACCCTCCCCAAATTGTTAGACTGATTCTGTTTCTCTTGCTGTCCCAAGTTCAGTTGTGTTTCTTTTGTCTTTTGATATATCCCCAGAGCACAGCACAAAGAACAAGCAGTTAAAAAGCAGTATCTGCTTAACAAGCAGACTGCTTATGACTGCTTAGCCCCAGGCTAGATAGCATTTTTGAATTTGGCAAAGAGTAATGAAGAGATAATGGCCAGAGCTGAAAGAGAATTCCAAAGATTTCTTTAGATATCCCTAAACTGGGCGTGAATATAGTGGTATAGAGAAAATTTTGAAAACTAGTAATCTAGTTTTAGGTAAGCGTGGAATATTTATCTGCAGTCAGTCTTTTCAGATTCTCCTGTTACTGATAAAAATCACAATAGCCTCCAAATGATCAGTGAATAGTGAAGGTAACAACATATATCATATAGAAATATCTAGCATCAGAAAGTAGGCTGTTTGGATTAACAATCTGCTGTTTCCAGTGATCCCTATCTGCCACAGATTTAATTGGAGGAGCTCCTGATAGAGACAGAGTGCCAACAGTACTTTGATCTTCCACAGGGAGAGAGGGAGTAACTAGTGAAGAACAGAACGAAGCTAAAGCCCAGCATTTTCCAGATTATTCTTCTTAACTTGACCTGCTAGACAACGGTGGCTCTTTGTCCCCGTAGTCTTTCCTGGGGCATGGGGCTGAATGCCACCAGCTAAATCTGAAATGGTTCTGCTGATTCTCAGCTGAAAGGTTTGAATGAAAGGATTTCTTTAGCTTTTCCATGGGCTCGCATTCTCTCCTACAGGGACTCTTCCTGGCTTCTGGGTTCCACAATGGGAGGTCCTTTTTGGAGAGGAAGGTGCATTTTCTTCCACCACTCTTCCTATTTCTTCCCCCTATTGGGGAAGAAAAAGTGCAAAGAAGGAGGAGGAGGAGAAGAAGAAGCAAGAGGAGCAGCTTTCTTGCCTCACAGACTTGCTGGGAAAGAAGAACAGGAAAGGGAATCCAAAGGACCAGAAGACTGAATGAGGAACAGTAGAAAATTTAGGAAAATCCTTCCTAAATAAGTCCTAAGGTCGAGTCTTCCTTCATGACTCTTCTTCTCCCAGCAGCAATGCTATAAAAGCTTTTCCAACTCCGTCTAGAAGCCATGTCCACCTTGGTTACCCTCTCCACACAGCTCCATTTCATTTTGCAGGAGAGCAATTCCACATCCAGAAAACTAACTTTACTTCACTAAAATTAATTATGCAAAGGAAAGTACAATTTTCCACGTCTTGCTGTTACAAAATTTGAGTAACAGTTGATCTTTTGAGGTTAAAAACTTTGGAAATGATAGTTGGTCTTCTGTGTTAGTGGAGCTGATTTGGGATGTGCTTGCTATTGATGGGGAAAGTAACAAGTTCAAAACTTGCTGTGAGTACTAACACAGTCATTAGAGGACCTGTCTGCTGGCCATGGTGAGAAAGAAAGAAAAATCTTCCAGTGGGTTCCAATGCAGATCTCTGTCAGGAAAGAAACCTGCCTAAGGATGCTATAAGACAGAATGTGAACACCTAATATATCAAAAGATGTGATCTGAATGTGGAGTGCGTATGCCAGTGATGGTTTCCAGGTGTGCAAAGCTGTGGATCAGTATTACGCCTTTGAGTGCGGACAATTATGAGTAGTAGTGTGGTTTGTGTTTGGGCCAGCAAACTTGGTGTTACAGAACCAGACTCATGCCAGATGGATCATCCTTCTTCATAAATCTTCTAAGAAACATGAAAAACCTGATGTAAACTTTTGAAAAGAAAGTTATGGAGTCAGATGTACAAAGTCATCTGGATACCTATGAATCTTACACATACTTATTTCTCTTGTAAAATGTTTTTAGTTTAACAAACCTGCTACAACAAAATAACTTATACCTAAAAATCTAGGTTTTGGTACTTGATTCAAAAGGTAATAGCATCAGTATGACAGATTTAAAATCCTGGTGCTTCAGTAAGCATAGCTGCTGCTGAAAATCAGAAAAAACTTTCATTAAACATTTCCTGTTTTTTGAACCATTTTTTGGATATCCTTTAAGCTGTAAAGCACATGAGAAATACAATATACTTAATGTAAGCAGAATCTACAGGACATCTTTAATTAAGAACATAGATTTAGGACTGCTAGTCACTGAGTCAAGTTTCCTGTTGCTGTGGGATGCTTTATCAAAAGAATTTTTCAAGCTGTATCTTAAAACTGATGAGGTAGTTTGTTCCCACGACTCCTAATTGAAGATTTTTCCAGGACCTCACTTTTTAGGTAATGAAGGTTAAAAATCTTACTAATTCCCACTTTAAATTCAGTCATAGTGATTTCCATTTCTTCTTGTATAAACATTTTCCTTTATCTTATACAGCTCTGTTCCCACTTTGGTTTTTGTACCTGAATAGTTTTAAAATCAAGCTTCTTTTTGCTTTATACGCTGTGTTCTTTTGATAATCCCAGCAACTCCTCTCTCGATTGTGCTCGTTTTGCATTAATCTTCCTATGAATGTAATGACCCGAATATACTCAGTATTCTAGACAGTCACATTTCACTGGTTTGATTTCCTCTCTTGGAGTTATGTCACCTAATATATCCTAGAGCTGAATTAGAGGGGTTTCAATTTTTTTTTCTTTCTGATGATGACCTCCCATCTCAAAGCAGAAATTACTGTTAATTTCTAAATGTTTATTTCACATGTGATGAAGAGTTACAAGGAGATAACCAAACGTGCCAATGTCTGCAAGAGTCAATTCACTTTGTTGTTGTGACTTTATAGTATTACAGTGTGCCAGGGACATACCACCTTCTTTGGCATTTGTTAGATATCTCAATACAAAGCGCTTGGACTTTCCTGTCATCTGTACATTTCATTGTGCATGTCTTACGGCAATGTCATTCATAAAAATATAAACTGAGGTACGCCCAGTCCTTCAGCAACTTCCATTGCTATCTCCACAAATTTTACAATTCTTACAATAATCTTATCCTCTGCTCAACTATTTCACTTCCCTCATATTAAAACCTCTGTGTTACAGAAGTCCAAAGAGATTAGATCCATTGCACTTCTGTGGCAAAAAAAAAAAAAAAAAGAAGAAAATGAGTAATCTTGTGGAAGAAAGATGGGAGGTTATTCTGGTACAATCTATGTTTCAGAAACCTGTGTTATTCTTTATCTTTTTTCTCATGTATTTTTCATTTTCATTTATTACAAATTCTTTACTCTTTCCTTCAAGGTACTTACATCCTTCAGTACAACCAAGATCAAGCTAATGGGTTATTAACTGCTTAAATCAATTCCCAAATCTTTTTGAAATTGCAATTTGAAAGGCACTATGATTGCTTTCACCAGTTACAGATAATAACTTCCCAGCTTGAGAGATTTATTAAACATACTTGCTGCTAGATCTGTAACTTTATGCCCTAATTCTTTCATTATTTTGAGATAAAGATGATGTCATTCCCTGACTTTATTACATTAATTTCTTTGAATTTTGTTTCTAGTTTAGATACAGACTTTTGTATTTCCATACTGCTTTTCTGCATCACTGTCCTGAGTTCATCATCATCCTTACTGAAAACAGGCATAGCATTTGTTGGTTTTGGACCTGGGTCTAGTTTATCTTTAATCTTGACTAAATCTTTAATCTAGAAAGTCACTGGTTTTTATTGGTCTCTGTTTATATAACTAAAGAAAATGTTACTGTTTCTTTTCAGTTCTTGTGCAAGATGTAACTCAGCTGGACTTTGGAAAGTTTCTACTTTATCCTCTTGTTTCTTGACCTCCACATTGCAGCTTTTTTTTATTGCTGCAGTAATAACTGCTAAATAATACCAGTTCATGATTGTCTGTGGGGTCAATATGTAGCAATTAGATTATGGAAATACACATAATACACTGAATCTATAATGTCCTCCTTTTAAAAAAGGAATGTAACAAGTTACTATAATTTTCTCTGTAGAACAGTTAAGGTTAAGACCAGGCTAATGATAGAGGAATTTGGGAAGCAACATAGAAAGAGCATTCCTATGCACTCCTACCATAGGTGGCAGGAAGTCCCCTAGTTTGATTTTGTTACTGATGTCTGCAAAATTGTTTCCTCTGTTTTGAAGCTATGCACATTTCTCACATGGCATTCTTGAATATCTTCCAGTCTTTTTACAGATGGTGCATATGTCAGTATCTCCCAATTTAACATAACACTGTTTTTGAAAAGTAAATTCTGTATTGGCTTCAATGAAGCTTGCTGTAGACTTAAGAATTTGACATTTTGGAAAACTTATTTTTTGATTTGCTGTGCCAGGTGTGTTTTCTTCACTTCTCATAGCAAATACTGAGACAATATTATTGAAAACAAAGCACAGATTTGGTTGGTTTGGTTTGGGTTTTTTTGACAGCTGGCAGCATACCTAAGATTTGTTTCTGCTGTAAGTACAAGTAAGTGATATTCCTAAAGAAAATGCTATTACATTTCAATTTCTTACTTTGTAATGTTTTAGTTGGAAATAACAACGCATTTTTACCTGTTTAAAGCAAGCTTCCACCAGATTTGGAGGGAACATATTTCTGTGAAAAAGAAAGAAAATAACATGAGAAGTAGTAAGAATCTAGTAATATCTTAAGTAGGGGCACAGTTAATAAAAGAATTGACCAGCTAATTTTCAAAGGAATCCTAAGACAAATATGTAATTATGTATACAGTGAGTAGAGCTTTGCATATAGCATTGGCCTGGTTAGCTTTATCAGGATGAAATGTAGTGGGGTTGGATAGATCCTGGCAATTGCAATCTCTGTATCCAATATTGGTCTGGTTATGGAGTAGCATATTAGCTAAATTACCAAATGAACAAAGCTCTGTGGGTCAGTGCTGACTTTTAATTTTGTATTTACTAATATTTTCTGAATCCAGATTAATAAAGATGTTATTAATATTTAATGCATTTCTACTTCTCAAACAATTTTTGCAGTCACATAGCCTAGTACATCATGACATTTATCACTCAATTTAGAGTCTTGTTGTGATTACGAAATAAGTATTTCTGAAGTCTGAGTATTCTTTAGTAATAACATATACACATATATATGTGTGTGTATACTTGTTACATATGGGGGTTTGTTTCTTTGCTTTCCAGAATGGTGACATTTCTGAGGGAATTAGAAGCAGCCTAACTGAATAAGTCTTGAGGAATCTGAGTGCAAACCTCTTCATGGGTCTTTCTGAAGTCCCCCTTCCTGGCAGCATGACTCTTGGAGGCCTTTCTCCATGTCTCTGGCTTCTCCAAATGGGTTAGTGGAACACAAAATTTTGGTGGCTTTACCTGTGGAAAAGCTCCCGAGTTCAAAACCTCAGCTTCCCTACTCCCTGGAATACATCTGTGACATATTAGCTCTATAAAAGAGGCATTGCAGAGTCTCTGAATAAGGAGAAAACAAGATTTTATATCTGTGCCCCTCTATTTCAAGCATTTTACTTGCCTGTTCTTGGTATTTATTTCCCATCGATACAATTTAACAAGTTGCGTAGATGCACCCAGATTGGCAGCTACAATGCAAAATTAAGATGAATAGCTAAATCAGGGATTCAAGTGAAGTGAGAAAACTGTTGAAAGTTGGAAGTAAAAGAAAGCAGAGGAATTTGGTAATAAGGATTGTGCTATGGAAGGAGGGAAAAAGACCCATGCACATAGCAGAACAGAAGTCTTTCTTTTGTGCGTGAAAGAAAGAATCTTTCTTTGAATATTAAAAGCAGTTTCTTCCCTTGCAACAGCTTGATTTGAAAATAAATCCATGTATTCTTTTGTAGCGTTGTAGGGGTTAGAGATACTGGTATCACATAGTTGAAAGAAATTTGGCTAGTTTATGTAGTCACTGTCTAAAATTCTCTACTTTTGTTCTCGTGTGCATCTAGGTATTACTGTTGTTGCTATTGGTACAGAAAATGTGCAATATCGTAGCCATACCTGATTAAATCAAGAAAGGCATCTGCTGCTGTCACTTGCACAATTTTGCCTTCTCTGTGCATGTTTTCTTTAGTACCTTTCCCAGGGTGGATGATGACCACAATGATTATACCAATCAGTACAGCAATGATCGTAGTACTCATGTAGTAGACTACTGCTCGGACTCCCATCTTCCCTGATGCTTTACTATCCAGGGCAGCAATTCCTAGTAAATTTAAGCACAAGGATATTCACCTCATACAGTTGTGAGTAAAGAGTATAAACTCAGCATGATGAAAATGGTTTTGTGGGAAGAGTATTGATGACGAGTACATTTTAAGCTACCCAAGGTAACTCGGCCCTCTTTTGCGACTTGTACTGCCACTGTCTTCCCATCCCACCCCTAATGTTTGTTATGACATAATTTTCTATTACAAGAGTTACAGCTTTCTGTGCTTTGTTAACACTTGTTAAAAGCAAAGATTATTGGTCTGATGCAGTGTGGCACTCCCTGTATTCCAGTGAGCCAATTCATGGTTTTTGATTAGCATAGTTGCCGTAGTCTGAAAAATGTACCTTAGAAATGTGCTGCACTGAACTTGTGATGGTAAGAAAGAAAACAGAGTACTCTCAAGTAATGTTGATAATGTTTGCTACAATTAATGTGTACGAAGAGTTTTCTTCAATCCCTAATGGCATGACCTCAGTTTACCTCTGTCCCAAGCCATGGGAGTTTAAAACAGATTAAATGCTGTTAGCTTGTTTCAGAAAATCCTTACTGTTGTATGAATAAGCATTTAGAGTCTTTTATAAGCTTTGCAAAACTTGCGACATTAATCCTAATTCTTGGCTCGTCTTAATGCATCTGATCTAATGTGAACACTAGGGTGCTCACTATGGCATCTGCTAAAATGTTTGTTCATCAGATGGCACCAACAGGGTGGCACTGCCTTTTTTCA